GGGATATAAGGGGTAACTTTTTTGCGGTAAAAATTATGTTTTCTTAAAACAGCAGTGGGATCTTAGGTGAAGTCTACTGTATACCTTGAAAAAGTTGCCTTTTACTTTTCTTCTTCTATTCCTATTTCTTCCATTTAATGTAATTCTAAAAGGATTTCTTTATGAAAAGAGAATAAGGGCTGTTACAAGAAAAGAATCAGGTTCAGAAACACATTACCTCAAAGTATGGATGTAATTTGAGAAAAAAGAGAGAAATGAAGTTAAAAACTACTGTCCTATAAATCAATCTATTACACTAACCACAAAAGAAAACAAACAATCTGCAGACTGTGGTCACTTTTCTTAGGATTGTATCAATTCAAAAGATCAAACTATATTATTATACCTCAAATGCAAAAAAAAAAAACCTTCCTGTAAGAGTGACCTTCTCAATAAGAATTTTAAGATCACAAAAAAAGTTCCTCTTTAATCTTACGAAGCAACGAGCCAACAAAGAAAAACTTTCAGCTAATCTTATCATGTGCACACCCAATGAAAATCAGCTCACACACATTCAAAAATATAAGTAAAAAATTCATCAAAGCAGTAAGTATCTTTCTTTAAAAATGGACATGTTCAAAGTGTACAAATTAAATAGAATAGTAGAATCTAAGATTTCGTAACAGTAAAAAGGGAAAAAGTTGTTCATTTACAACTTTTTCTATGCTTTTGTTCATAAAAATAAAATGTGTGCGAAGTGTATGTCGTAAAAAGGAAATACAAACAAAAATACAAAACTAAACAGGCAAACGCGGTTCATTGCACATACATGTGGAATTTCATGACACTTTAATGTTATAAAATATATTTACAAGGAACTGTTTTTATTCATATAAATTATACAGTTGTGTAGATTCCGAAATATGATTCAAACATTGATTGTTATCAATTATACGGCATATGTTATACGATCCCATTGACACATCTTAGATCATTTAAAAGTCTGGCTGTTTCAACCCTGCTTATCAGGGCTATCCCTGGCCACATACCAGAAGACAGACAGATTGAGATACTCAATAAAATAACTTCCTCACTTGGGAACTGAACTCACATCTTCCACGGGCAGCGGTGAAGAGTCTAATCATTACACCACAGATGCCGATATACTTGAGAGAAAACGAGTGATGTCTTTTATAAATGAAAGTGCTACCAAATTTCATTGGAGTAATTTCTCTTACTAGAAGTTGCTTGTAAATTTCTAGCAATTTACTATCAACACAGCATACTACAAGTAATGTAAGTCCCTATTCAGTGAAAATGAGTTTAATAGATCTGTTGAAAAATTCACCTATTTCATATAAGGCCAGTCCAGTACAGAACACAAAACAAAATTTAAGCCACACCAAATGAGCATGTGTATGTGAGAGTGTGTGTGCTTGAATTATTAGAGTTTGTTTTTTTTAACATAGGTGTTTTTACACCCTCATTGACTCAGCATAAATCACTTAGAAGGCTGGCTGCTGACCTCGCCTGTCAAGGCTAACCCAAGCGGAAGGGGATACAACATCTCAGCAGACAGACCAAGATACTCGACAAAAATTTCTCCCTACTCCAAAATGCGAATCAAACTTCGGTCTTCCACATGCGACAGCAAAGCGCCCAACCGCTTCACCACAGACGCTGTTGTGCTAGCATGAGTAAGTGTGAGCACTTGTGATATTAACTGCATGCTTTGTGTACGTGTGTGTGAATCTGCATGTCCAGGAGGGTGACTAGTATCATTTTGTAGCATGAAAAGTCAAAATATATTTGTACTATTTATTATTTATGACATGTCATTATGTGAAATGGTCTTAATGGTTATAATCTCATTAAACACACTTGTAATATATTTTATTCCAACAGAGCTAGCACTCTCATTGTAGACAACAAAAGTTGTACAGTATTAAAATGTCATAAATTAATCCACTGATTAGAGTATAGACCTGCATGTGAGCCTCAACCAGATTGTCTGAAGATTTTGCTCACCCTGGGATTTTTCTTGAGCTAATTCTCTTTTTCTTTTTTTCTGGTACATTTTTATGGCGCTTGCATAAGGTCATATGAGCCCGCGGAACGCAATAGGCATTTCCAGTTTGGTAGGAATTAATTTTTAATTTCGCCCAGGCGGTGGCCGAAGCCTACTCTAATCGATTTTAGGACAACCAAGGGATCTTTAACATGCGCGATTTGAACATGGGAACTCCGGGATTTTTTGCCCTTATTCAAGAAGGCTAGGTGTTAGATCTTACCTACCCTAAGGTCAGGGGTGTGGCTGAAAGAAGAAGAAACATGTGCTCTCTAAGCACCAACAAACCTGAGGAGGTGGGGGGGGACAGAAAGAGGGTATAACAAAGAATGCCGCTGAGGCAAGAAAGGACAGGCTGAGGAGTTTAACACAGTAAATAGAGGAACATATTATGTGTACAAGCTACCTACTGACCAAAAAAAAACCTTTACCCGCAGGAAAGCCTATGTTTTTAGTTTTAGTACGAGTTTTACGGCACTTGCAACACAATAAGGTCATATAAGTGCCGAAGAATAG